AAGGGTGTGGGGGTGTGGGAAGAAACTGGACAAAAATCGTACACCTATGGATGAGGACAGTCGAGGCAGGGTAAGGGCAGAGGGTGGGGTGGAAACCAGGTGGAGGGGAGCTATGGGGGGAAAAAAGAGAAACAACTGTAATAATCTGAACAATAAAGATTTAATTAAATAAATAAAAATAATTTTTTTTTAAAAGTGTACCAGTTGGTTTCTTAGAATGAAACTAAATGTGAAGTTTACACCAGTAACAAAAAAAAAAAAGGAGGAATGAATACTTACATCTCAATTTCCAAAGATCAGTGGCTCAAAAAAGTTTTAGAACTAATACTGGGGATAGAAGAGAAGTGAGGCACAATTAGCAAAAAGCATGCGAAGCAGAAGAATAAAAATTCTAGTAAAAATGGTGTCACTGATTATGTGAGATCCAAAAGCATTTGTCACAGCTGCATTGGGCTAGAAATTGTAAAAAACACAAATGTGAGAAGATATTCCAAAAGAACCTGGGTTTCTAGAACATCCAATTTACCCACCAGAGGCAATCTTAGAGAAATTTAACTTGATTCAGGAAAAATGAAATGACGACAGAAACAGAGCCCAGAAGTTTAGATCATCTCTATTCTACAAAATAAAATCTTCCCTCTTGATATGAAAATCCAATCCTCATACCATCTGGACATGATCTTCAGAGATATGCACGAGCTACTACTTTCATCCGTCAGGCTACTCCTATTATGAGACTTAACAAAATTCGTCACTGAGAACAAAGATTCACAAGTGTATGTGGATGAAACTAAGACACTGGTTGGATCTAGGAAGGCAGGGAGAGTTAAGGCAGAGGCATAGAAATTGCTCTTCCCCTCTCTTGTCAATCCATGTCTATGGTCTTTAAGATAACTTGTTATGTAAAATTATTTATTTATCTAAGATGCACCTACACTGAATATATCTGAAAATTAAAAAAGTCAATATTAAGAAAAAAATTGTAAATGGAAGATTATAAGAGAGGGTTTGGCGTGCCAGCAAAAGTTACCAGCATGCCATGTTTGGCACTCATGCCAGGGGTTGCCCACCCCTGTCCTAGAACCTTTAAATATTATTTTTTTAGGGAAAAGGTGCTTTTGAAGATTTTATCAAGGATCTTAAAATGGAGAGATGATCGTGGATTCCCCAGGTGGGCCATGAATGCCATCACAAGTGTCATAAGAGAGAGCAGAGGGAGATTTGACACACACCCAGAGAAGAGAAAGTGATGTGAAGATGGAGACAGAGATTTGAATGACGTGGCCATAAGCCAAGGTATGTTGGCAGTCACCAGAAGGAATAGATTCTCCCCTCAGGCTTCCAAAAAGTGCAGCCCTGCCAACACATTGATTTAACTCAGACATACTCATCTGGGCCTTCTGGTGTCCAGAACTGTAAGAGAATAAATTTCTATTGTGCTCAGCCACCCAGTTTGCAGAATTGGTGACAGCAGTCAAAGGAGACTAATATTATCCTTCATCTCCTCCTCCCCTTTCTTCTTGCCTTAAAGATAAACATGAGACCCAGAATAACAAGCAAGAAAACAAAACCCATGATGATGAAAATGACAGATAGAGAAAAGAGCAAGTCCCAGGATTCTCACAATATCCCTACAGGAATCAGCCTAGGACCCCTTACCTACAAGTTACTGGTTTTACAAAAGAAATGTATGTCCCATTAGCTTAACCCACAGCAATTCTATATGAAACAGCTCTCCTTGACCTGCTAACCAGCTTCACCTCTCCTCTCAGCTCTCTGCTAGCCCATTCCTCCTATTCCCCCAGCACACAACCATGACTTGATACTTTCTACACAGTGTCTGCTTTACTTGCAGCAGCAAGTTTTTTGAGGACAGTGATATTTATCTATGTAGCCCCAGGATTTCGACCGGTGTAGTCACATGCCAAGCAATCAGCAAAGGACCATAAACAAATGGATGAGGTCTTGCAAAGGACATTAGCCCTGGAAGGAGTGCCATATGGCAGCCATCCTGCTTATTACAGTGTCTTTAGAACAGGCCCAACTGCACATTCTTAATGAGCAAGAATGTCATTTGCTTCAGTGACTTGAAACGTTCAGTGTCAGTAGTGAAAGGGCCCTACATACCAAACACTTCCTCCAGTTCACTGTCCAATGTTTTCTGGACTTCTGGATAGCAACCCAGTAGGTACAAGGCCCAGTTTATTCCAGCTGCAGTTGTATCATGGCCCTACAAATGTAAGAAAGGAAAAAAAACAGCTTAGAAAGCAGAGTTCTATTGAGAAGGTTAGGGATGCTAACTCTATTTTGAATTAACTCTGGATTTGACAGCTGTGACATGACCCCAGACAGAACAAGTTAATTTTATACAGCATTTTACCTCCGTGGGGAACAAACCAATGAAACAATCCCTTCAAAGGGGATGCCTCTGGGTACAGGGACATTCAATACGACAGAGTCACATACTTGGTGAGAGTGGCTGGGCTGGGCTAACAGGAGGCATTCGGAGGGCACTTCGTGCCCTGGACTGTTTTTGAGGGAATAAAAGTGTGACTTTCCTGAGCCAAGTGGCCAGATCTACACTTCTCCACTGTCCCCCATTTGTACGGTTGGTTTTACCTGGACACCAGGCAACATCAGGCAGCACATAGGTGGTGCTGAGCAACAGTCTCCACATCAAGAAGTTGATAAATAGCCCCATTTAAACCTTGCAGAATTTGAGGCAAATTCCAAACATTTTGTAGAAATGAACTCAATTATTCTTCAGAAAAAATCCATGGGAGCCCAGCAGGCCTGGTTCAGTGCTTGAGCATCGACCTATGAATCAGGAGGTCATGGTTCGATTCCTGGTCATGACACATGGGGTTGTGGGATCGATCCCCAGTAGGGGGCATGCAGGAGGCAGCCAATCAATGATTCTCTCTCATCATTGATGTTTCTGTCTTTCCCTCTCCCTTCAATAAAAATATATTTCTCTGAAATCAATAAAAATATATATATTTTTAAAATCTCCATGAGATGCTTGATACCGCTATTCCCATTTTAGAGATGACAAACTGAGCCCCCAAAAGATGCTACATGACTTTCCCAGGGCCCGACAGCTTCATAGGAGGTGGAGGCAAGAGTTGGACCTTCGGAGTTTCTGATGACAAAGCAGAGTCCACACTTTTCACCTCGGGGAGCATGGGGGATCCGGGGTGAGGAGAGTCCAGCTCCAATACTGATGGTGACACCCTGGACGACCTTCTCTGTCTGTTCAGTGTCATTAGGCATCAGCCCCTTATTTCCTGTCCTCATCTCAGCAGGACAGTCCACATGCATAATGGTAAGTTCTTCAGAAAAAAAAATGTATTTGAAAAAAAAAAAGAATATTATAATTCTTTCTGGTCCATTTACTCTATGAAACATAAGTGACCATTGCAATATTTCATCTCCTGGGCAGAAGTCTCTGAAAGGCTTATTTTAGCTCCTAAGTGGAATTGTTGAGGACTTTTCTGCAATTTTCTAATGTTGGCATGATTATATTTTCTCACACTTGCAATTCCTTTACAGAAATGACCCTGAAGTCCAGACAAAAGCTGGCCCATGTCACTCAGTTGTTTAGCAAAGTCATAGAGGATGTGCTCTTGCTAAACAATTCTAATAGCTTCTCTTGAATTTGAAAATGAAGTTCCTGTTTTATTTTTTTCTGCGACTGAAAGGCAGCAAACACAAAGCACAGAGCCAACAAGTGCATTGGCAGAACTGCGCAGGGCAAGAATGTCAGACCAGGAGCTTAAAAGGCCTGGCACAGACAAATTTAAAAGTAAAAAAATAAAATAAAAGGCCTGGCATCAACAGCCTGAATCCTCTTACGGAGGAGGTCAGAATATTGTAGTTATACATGCTATGTCCTCTATTTCATAGGTAGAAGGGAAAAATTAGAACTTCAAAGAATGTTAGAGCTGCAAAAAAGAGATCATTAGTCTGGTTGTTTTTGTGGAAGTGAGAGGTTACTGGTGGGAGATGGATGTGTATGTGCAGGTGTGAGTGTGTGTGCAAATGCACGTGTGAGTGTGTGTGTATGCATGTGTGGGTGCAGGGGCCACTTCAACATCAGACACCAGCCAATGTGTGTTGCACAAGAATGTGCCGGGCATGATGGTTGGTGCACATTAGAAAACTATGCACCTAGTCCTCAGAGCTGTTCTGTGCGGCCCATGTTATTACAGCGAGGACACAGAAGTCTCGAAAGGGAGAGGAGGTGCCCGAGGTCACACTTCTAGTATAGGACAGAGCTGGGATTTGGCCCCACAGCCCCCATTTTAGTGAAATACTTACTTGTAGATGTCCATTTTCTGCATAATGTTTCTTTTCTATAAAGTAATCTGCTTAAAATAGCCATTTAAAACCACTGATACATTCCATCTTTCCACACAGGGAAACTGGGGCAGAGATCTGCAATGAATGGGCCTGTCTCCTCTGGCCAGTCAGCACAGACCTGGGAGAAGTCAGGTATGTGGACCCTTCACACCGCTTGCTTCCTGCTACAGGGTGTAGAGCTTTCCTCCCTTGGGAGGCACTGCACCCAGGTGGCTGCAGGCAGAGCAAACACAATGCATGCAGTACGCCATCGAAAACTGATGGTTTTTTCGTTCTTCTATTTCCAGGACATTCCACATGCTGCCTTTTAAAACCATTTCTTAATCTTTACTTGGTAAGCCACATGTTAAGAGCTTTTCTCTTTATAATATTTAATGTCGTTACTTGTAAAGTTATCATCTTTACAAAAAATTTGTCTTTTTGCCCAGCCGGTATGGCTCAGTGGTTGAGTGTTGACCTGTGAATAAGGAGGTCACGGTTCAATTCCTGGTCAGGGCACATTCAGGAAGCAGCCAATCAATGATTCTATCTCATCATTGATGTTCCCATCTCTTTCTCCCTCTACCTTCCTCTCTGAAATCAATAAAAATATATTAAAGTGAGAGAGAGAGAGAGAGAGAGAGCCCAGAAGCCCGGCCAGGTATCATGTTGCTTTCTCTCCCTAAAAACAAGAATAAAACTATATATTTTTTAAATTTGTCTTTTTTTTAATGTAAAGACCAGAAATGTCTTTAGAATCACAAACTGGTTAACTATCTACTAGAAGGAGCTGGGAAGACGGTGGCTGGCAGGACAGAGTTCAGAAAGGTTTGAGTGAGTGAGGAAGTGACAGGGGAGTGTGTGGACATGTCTAGTATGTGTGTGAATGAGGGAGGAATAGTTAAATCTGGCAGGATTATCAGGCTGGTAGACCAGGCTCTCCTGGACAGGGAGCCCCTACCACCGCTGGGGGCACTCCCCTGGCTGGGAGCCCAGACCATCTTGAAGGGGAGAGGGGCCTCCTCTAGGAACTCATCAGCACCACCACCCAGACTGGCCTTGGACACTGTTCGAGACCCTGCAGCCACACCAGCCAAAGGCCTGCTGCCTTGTCCGCAGACCTGCAGACCCTAGGACATCTCCCTCCAAAGGCGGATGGCTCCCGCAGCAATAAGTGGGACTTCCCCCTCCCTGGCTGCCGACCTCCAGACACGTGGTCACACCAGTCCAGTGCACAGGCACCCTGAGTCTGCCACCCTGGCAGAGGGCTCTCTGGTGCCTCTGTAAGCCACTACTGGGTGCGCACATATCCAAACAAGAGCGCACAGCCCCAGCAGTAGAACCTCGGACTTCCCACTTCCTGGCTGCCTGCCCACAGACATAGTGATCATGTGGTTTCAGCACACAGGTCCCCTGAGTCCTCTGCCCCAGCAAGCGGCTCCCAGGTGCCTCTGTGAGCAGCCTAGGGGCGCACTCGTAACCAACTAAGGGCAGACGACCCTGGCTGCAGAAACTCGGACTTCCCCCTCCTCGACGGCCAATCTCCAGTCACTGCAGTGGCACCAATCCAGCACACAGCCCCCTTAAGTCTGCTGCCCTGGCAGGCGGCTCCCAGGTGCCTCTCAGAGCCACAGCAAGGCATGACCCTGGCTGCCAGCATCCAGTCCCCAAGATAGCCCTGCGCAAGCACACGAGTCCCCTGAGCCCACTGTCCCAGTAGAGAGCTCCTGGGTGCCTCTGTAAGCCGCCCCTGGATGCATGTATCCAACCAAGGGAACACAGCTCGCAGAACAGAAACTGGGACTTCTCGCTCTCCTGGTTGGCAGCACACCATGATCTTGCAGCTCCAGCTTGTGGGCCCCACGAGCACATAGCCCCAGCAGATGGCTCCTGGGCCCCTCTGTGAGCTGCCATTGGGAGTGTGCCTCAGCAACCAAGGGCACATGGCTCCCTCGACAGGATCCATGACATCTCCCTCCTGGCTGCCTACCTCTGGACACCTTGGTGAGTTACTGAGGACCCTCCTCCCCAGACAAGGTCACATTGTTTCAGCCACAGGCTCTGAGATTCCCACAACCCCAGATGCTGGATCCTGAACCCCATCGTCATTCAGAGAGAGAAATCACTTTGGCCAGAGTCCCACTGCCTCAACTGCAGACAATGGGACAGCTGTCTCCCACTGTCTCAGGCTCTGGAATCCTTGTAGTGAGTTATAGAGTGACGCTACCCCAGTAAGAGTCACACAACACCAGCCAAAGTCAAAGTACCTGAGCCTCAGGCCCCAAGACCCCTTCCTCCCAAGCCCATGCACTCTGGGCACTCATAGTGAGCACATACCAGTGAGACCTCAGACAACCCTTGCCACAAATGCTAGAACCATGGTCACATCCACAACAGCTTGCACAACGAAGGTGGAGGTGAGTCACATTGCCAATTTGTGATGAAACTTCGTCCACGAATAAGAAACTAACACTCAAGATATAAGTACATCAAGAGAACCCAAATAGCTCAAGTAGGTGACTCCGCTAGATCACCAAGCCCAGGAGATCTGAGAAACAGCACCACTTGGTCCCCAAAATCACCAACTACACAGGATTATCCCCAAAAGAACCTGGGTAGCAAAACAGTTGGATCTAAGACATAGAAACAATTAAAACATTACAGCAAATAGTGGGGAGACATAAAAACAATCCCCAAAGGAAAGAAATAAAGGAATCAACAGAAAGGGAATTAAATGAGATGGAGGCAAGTAACTTATCAGAGAAAGAATTCAGAGTAATAGTTATAAGGATGCTCAAACATCTGGATGACAAATACACACAATTCAATGAGAATTATAAGAAGCTGAATAAGAATGTCACCAACATGAAAAGGAATCAAGAGGAAATGAAGAATGACCTAGCTGCAATAAAGAACATAAAGAAAGGCTTCAATAGCACACTTGAAGAGGCTGAGTACCACATCAGTGAATTAGAAGGTAGGGTAGGAAAAAACACACAAACACAGCAGCAATTGGAAAGAAAACTTACAAAGCAGGAGGTGAGTCTAAGGGAGCTTTGGGACAACAAGAAAGGAAACAACATCCACATAATAAGAGTGGCAGAAAGACAGGAAGCGGAGCAAGGAATAGAAAACCAATTTGAAGAAATAATGACAGAAAACTTCCCTGATGTTGGGAAGAAAGAAAACCATACAAGTCTACAGCTTTTTCTGAAGAAGAAAGTTGATCTGGTATTTAATTAGGGTCTTGAACTTTGTAATTTCTAACTACAATATAATGATTCTTCATCAGTTATAACAAGCTACTTCAAAATGTGATCAGACTTATAAAAAATGCCAAAAAATTTTTAAAAGAATTCCTAGAAATTATTTTTTTAAGTTAAAAAGAAATTGTGAAAAGATCATCCCTTATACCAAGGATCCCAACATATTTTAAAAGCAGGCTACAAATAATTCCTACTATTTCATGTTATTTCTAATTTTATTATTCAATGCTTTAACAGGTCTATTAGTGCTGGTTATTTCTTCATCCTTAGCAACTCCCAAGATTAAAAACAAATATTTTCTTGTTATGTAACAGGAACTGTAATTTCTTTAATGATGATACCTGAGACTAACTTGACAATGCAAAATACCTCAAACATGAAAGTGTCCACTTCTTCTCGAATAGCCTCATGGCTTAGCTTGTTCCCTTCATCATCCATCACATTTAAAAGTAGGTCGAGAAAGGCCTTGTGTTTTCTTTTGGAGAGGGTCATGCCCTTATCATCACTTTTACGTTCTTCATATCTCTTTATTTCATTAGCCCGTTCATTGATGACCTGTATGATTTAAATGATCACATGCTTTAGTGTAGAATTTGATATGGCCTAATAATCATTGTCCTGTGAAAATATACTCACTTCTTTATCTGATTTTTTTTTCTAAGCCTTTCCTGGTCTGTCTCACTGAACAGGAACTTCGGTTTTTATGAAAATATAGTAAAGCTTTCTAAGAACATTTTTAGGGCTTTATTTGATAAGACTTTCTAAAACAAATTTAATGTCATACAAATACATAATTCCCAAGGACTATTTTTGCAGCCTTTCCAACATGGGGATAGAGTAGTAGTCTCCTGAATAGGGCCCCAGTGACTTGAAAGAACTCATGAGAAAAAGTTGGGTCATAGTGAGAACACAATCATTATATAATAGACTAATTATAGATCACTCTAATTATGTGTTGTATTGGAGAAAAGAATCACCCTGTACGCTTGCCGCTCCTTCTGCCTAGAATGCTCTTGCCTCAGAAACCAGCATGACTAGCTTCCTCCCTAGTTTTAGATCTCCACTGCCCATTGTCACACTGTCAGGGTCACTGCTACCCTAGTCTCTAGCACTCACTCTCTTCCTAAGCCTAATTTACCTTTTTTTCCATTTTACTTACCGCCTGGCATTGTATTTCTTATTGAGTGACTTTCTCCTCCAACTTTAATGTAGCAGCAAATTTCCTTTATTCATCGATATATTTCCAAACTTTAGAGCACTGCTTGGCATTTTAAACATGTTCATCAGGCCCTGACCAGTTTGGCTCAGTGGATAGAGCGTGGGCCTGTGGACTGAAAGGTCCCAAGTTCGATTCCGGTCCAGGGCATGTACCTTGGTTGTGGGCACATCCCCAGTAGGAGGTGTGCAGGAAGCAGCTGATTGCTATTTCTCTCTCATCGATGTTCCTAATTCTCTATCTCTCTCCCTTTCTCTGTAAAAAATCAATAAAATATATTTTAAAAAACCCATAAACATCCCTTTAAAAAAAATGTTCATCAGGTATGTGTTGAATGAATAAAAGAATGAAAGCCCCTGAGATTAATCTGGTTACACATTTCAACTTTCTCCTCCTTTCAGGCAATTGTCCAAACCTGCTTCTGCCTTGACTGAACAGATCCCAAATTCCATAAGGGCAAGCATCATGTCCTCTCTTTGTTTCTTGGTGAAACCCCTAATGCCTGGCACTTAGTATGCAATTTTTGATATTATCCATCCAATTTGGAATTCATTCATTACTGATACTGATATTAATGCATGAAATTTGAAGACAAGTATAATCTACACTAATAAAAGACAAAGATGCTAATTGACCATATCTTCGCTATGCCCACCAATCAGAACGACTATATGCAAATTAACCCAACCAAGATGGCGACCGGCAGCCATGGAGCTGGAGCAAGCAGGAGGCTTGGTTGTCCAGGTGATGGAGGAAGCCAAGCTTCCTGCCTGCCCTGAGCCAGATGTGGCCTCCGCTCATGGCAACAAAGTTTCAATTATAGAAGACAAATAAATACCAGATACCTACTTCAGCCAGCCTCCACTGGGAGCTTGGGGGGCTGGGGGCCGTGGCCAGCCTGCAAGCAGCCATCAGCCCCTCACCCAGGATGGCCACACTCTCATGGGGTGAGGGTCCCAACTGGGGGGCTTGGCCAGCCTGAAAACTGCCATCAGCCACTCACCCAGACTGGCCAGGCACCCCAGCAGGACCCCCCTACCCTGAAGGGGGTTTGGCCAGCCTGCAACCAGCCATCAGCCTCTCACCCAGGTTGTCCAGGCACCCCAGGGGGACCCCCACCCTGAAGGGGCTGTGGCCAGCTGCAAACAGTTGATGCCCTTCACCCAGGCTGGCCAGGCACTCCTATATAATAAAAAGGTAATATGCAAATTTATGCTAAACAGCAGAATGACTGGGAATGACTGGTCACTATGACACACAGTGACCACCAGGGGGCAGATGCTCAATGCAGGAGCTTCCCTCTGTTTGTCAGTGCGCTCCCACATGGGAGCTCTGCTCAGTCACAAGCCAGGCTGACGGCTGCCAGTACAGCAGTGGTGGTGGGAGCCTCTCCTGCCTCCTCAGCAGCACTAAGGATGTCCAACTACAGCTTAGGCAGCTCCCCGCTGGCAAGTAGACATCTCCCAAGGGCTCCTGGGCTGCCAGAGAAATGTCTGACTGCCAGTTTAGGCCCAATCCCCCAGGGAGCAGGCTTAAGCCAGCAGGTGGTCACCCCCCAAGGGGTCCCAGACTGCGAGAGGGCAGAGGCTGGGCTGAGGTACCCCTCACCCCCTGAGTGCAGAAATTTTTGTGCACTGGGCCTCTAGTTATACTTATAAAATACAAACTGTTCACCATTCACCTATTGCCAGACAATTTTGCTATATTCCACTGAGGGCAGCTCACTCCAACATCTCAGTCATCTAACATCTAGGGAATCTAACCACTTGATCTGTTGGTGGAGGCAGTACCTCATTGTCAGGAAGCAATGCCGTCATATTTTAAACTAAAATTTACAGCAAAGAACAAATATAATTACTTCAGCACTTTTATCAGTACATTTAAATTATAATGCATGTTTTCAATTAAAGTTTGCCTTTTCTAAACATACTTTTAACACAAAGACAGACTATATCCAGAACATTGCTATTTCCTTGTCATTAAAAATTAAATAGTAATATCTAGTTAATTCTTATATTTTTCAGTGTAAGATACTGCTATAAATGCCTTTTGTCTTTGAAAACCATGGCCTAATCCAAACACCTTGCAGAAGATTCGTATAATACAGACCCTGTGTCTTTATTCTCTTAGCATAGCACCCAGTTTGTTAATAAACTACCATAGCTCATATTACATTTTGTAATTATTTATTTATAGACAACCTCTCCCAGTAGAATATCCTTCCCCAGTAGGGAACATTAATGACTTGGCATGTTAACAAACACAGGAGTCATGCACTTATAAAAGTTCTAGAAAGTGATAGTGGTAGAGGTTGCACAACATTGTTAATGCCCCTAATGCCACTGAATGGTACACTTAAAATGGCTATTATGATAAATTTTATGTTATGTATGTTTATCCACATTTAAAAAAATGAGGACTTACATTGGTGGTAAAATTATGTAAGATCTTTAGGTTCCTTTTGTGGTCCCTTCCATCTTTAAACAAAAGGTACAATACATCATGCCAGAACCAAATCGTCTTCATTCTTCGATGTAGTAAATCAGTCATCCTATAAACAGGATGCAAATGTATCAGCTGATATATCAAAAATGTGCATTGCTTGAGTACCTATTTGGTGCCTGGTATCAATGAGGGTAATATGTGGCAACGATGATAATTCGTCTCAGCGGCTACCAAGAGCTCTATCCTTTATGCTCAACAATGAAGGCATGGGTTATTACACATCCAAGGAAGCTTAAAAATTAAATGGGTCCTATAGGGGAATGAAGAATTCATTAGAAAATATCCTTACTAGATGGCCATCTGATCACTCCTTCTATTTCTCCAGGAAGAGTTCTGGACCACCCCAAGCTGCCTGGAGCTCTTATACCACAGGGTGGGGTGAATCTGTCTGTTTAATGTCCACGCATTTTCTTGATCACTCCTCTGCTATCCTCTTCTCCAGGAAAGTGCCCCTCCATCACGAGTCCCTCCCTCAACATTTCCAGTGATGGAGCAGAAAGACCTAGACATGATCTCCTCCTTTGAGAACAGCTTATAGGCCAATTCTGCAGAGTGGCCTTTCCTGGTCACTCAATCAGTGGGCCCTATTTCTGTTTTCTGCTAGAATGTCAACTTTATTTTTTCTTTCTAAGCAATTATTATAGTTTATAAGTTTATACTTGTTTTGATGCTTGTATCCCTGTTATTCTGTACTGTGGAACACTATAAAACTAGTCGGTATCTTATGTAATGAATGGCAGATTATATCCTATATAATAAAAGCCTTACATGTAGAGAGTCTGGTCCTCCATTTGGCTGGTCAACCAATCAAAGTTTAATATGCTAATGATATGCTACAGCCGCACAACTGCTCACTATGATGTGCACTGACCAACAGGGTCAGATACTCCAACCGGTACGTTAGCTTGCTGCTGGGGTCCGGCTGATTGGGAATGAGCGAGATGGGCCAGACATGTCCAGGAGCCTTCCCAGGGTCCCTCCCTGGCTGGCCCACCTCCAGCATCTCTCCCTGGCCCTGATCATGCACTGCTGGTGTCCCTTAGCTTGGCCTGCGTTGTCTTGAAATTCGGGTCAGGGGACCACGCCCCCCCCGCCCCCAGGTGCATAAATTTCATGCACCGGGCCTCTAGTAAGCTAATATGTGTTGAAATGGGCAGTGGACTTAAAGACAGAATTCCTCAAATCAAACGCTTGCCCTGCCGTTTAATTCTTCAATAATCTCAAGCAATTTTTCAAAGTACAGTGGGGCCTTGACTTATGAGTTTAATTCGTTCCATGATGGAGCTTAAAACTCAAATTACTCGTATGTCAAATCACTGTGATGTTTGCTGCACAAACTAGCGTGGGGTATCTGAAGCTGGCTCGTAACCTGAATTTTTTTGAGCTTGCAACTCAAAGCAAATATCGGCCGAGAGACGGCTCGTATCGCAAAAAAAACTCGTTAGTTGGGACACTCGTAAGTCAAGGCCCCACTGTAAATATGACTATTAAATTAAAAAATAATGCATACTGAGTGCAGAAAATATGGGAAGAAATAATAACAACTCAAACAAGAAAGAGAAGCACATAACACAAAATAATTATCACAGCTCACATTATGGAATAATATCTACAAGTTTTTTTAATGAATAATTTTATAAACCTGGTGGTTATCATGCTAAAAATATTGTTTTTATCTCAATGTTATCACTAATCATCATAATGTAATTTCTCAATATATCATAAAATAATCATTTAAAATTATACCATAGCCTGGGTGTGCCACATTTTATACAATAAATCCTTTACTGTTAAAATACATGCTTAAATGATTAGATTGATTTTTAGTGCAATATTTCATTGTGAAACAATGATTGTGAAACAATGAAAAAGTTACAAGACAAACCAAAAAAATTATTAGCGATATTTTTTAAAGCTTGAATCAATAACAATTTAAAACATAATTAGAAGGGCTCTGTTTACCTATAAACTGCACGGACATACTCAGAATCATCATGAGTCTGAGCATCAATATTCTTGCCCATAGCTGTCTCTGCAAAATATGGGTGAGAAGCAACAAATCAATTCACATACATGCCTTCTGATTATTCTCCAGTGGCAAACACTTCAAAGAAGAGGTAAATTCTTCTATATTTTAGTAGTGTTCCTGTCCCCTTTCACTCTTGCACCTTTTGTTCCTCCTACTCCCTGTTCCTGCTCCTTCTTCCCTCTGCCCTTCCTGGCAGGTTGGCTCTGCTCGAAGCCCTGGCAGTGGGTACGGCTTCTCAGGAGCCTAATTTAGCGGAAGGATCAGCCCAAAGAAGCCAATATCCTTTCTAACCCCTTCACTTGCCATCCCAGTGAAATGTTATTTTCTATCTGGACCATTGTATGTATTCTATATTACCAATGTTTAAAAGAGCACTCACCAAATTTGAAAATTTTTTCTAAATTTCTAAGTTCTGAGTTTTCAAAAATGAGAAATTTCCCCCTTTTATCCAACCTTAACCCTCTGAAGGTCAAGGAGCTCCATGAGTCTACTTGGATCTCTAACATCTTCGAAGTCTCCAAAGTCCCCACCGAAGTCCTGCTTTCTCTTTCTCAGTTGACGGGGTCCTATTGCTGCATGCCAGCTCAAGGATTGAATTACTGTGCTCCACTTCTCTAAGGATGACTGCTTTTTCATTGAATTTCAAGAATTCCCGGTACGAAACTCCCCTGTGCTGTACTCCATTTATACATTGGGACTTTCTAATTCTCCTTGGAACACTGGTGATCATCATTATTGAATACCATGGCTGGAGATTACTCTGCACCCTGGATTCCTGTCTCTCAGAGGCCCATTATCACCCAAACTTTTCAGCTTCTCCCTACTCCCCGACTGCACATTCTTGCTACAGGAAAACTACCTCGTGTCAATGACTGACATAAGTTACGCAGAAGACAGCTTTACCGATTTACACTGACTTACCTGGTAAGAAGTCCTAGGCCAAGCCATGGTTGTAGGAATGTGTACAGATAAGACTTGTCAATTTGCTTTGAGCTAGTTAAAATTACCTTAGAAAGAGGGAAAAGAAAAATGAGAGATAGAGATATGAACGAGAGAAAAGGAAAAATGAGAGATAGAGATATGAACGCAACCTTAATTATAAGAATACTGGGCTAGACACAACTACTTTCTAAAGTAACATTTCATAACCATTACTTCTTTGTGGTTCATTTTCATTACTATGACTCAAAGAAATTTAACTTGTGTTGAAGCATACAACTGTCTCTAACTCTTGGAGACTAGCTGGAGTTGATTGAAAGGAAAATGTCTAAGATAATTCCCTGACTCCTGCCATGAATTAGGAGCCAAGTGCAGTTGTTTATTGAGGGTAGGAGTGAGGGAAGGGAAGGTCGGTGAATCAAAGGATGACCACATTTAGGGAGATGCAAATCACTAGTTCGTTATCAGGTATGTTGAATTGGAGTCATTCAAATCGCCATAGTCTGAAAGCAGGTATGAAGCTCAGGATTTAGGCTTATACTAGGTACACATTTGAATGTCTCCAGGATATAAGTAGCATCGGGAACTATGGGTATAATTAGGTTGCCTGCAGCCAAAGTAGAGGACAAGGGATGAGCATATGCACAAAATGCTTCTCAGGATCTTGCTGCAGTTCCCTACTTTGGACAGATCTCTATCCACCTATACTAAGCCCATTTATACTAGGCCAGCAATGGCTGAAATCTCACCTGTGGCCCTCTTGTATCTCCTTCTGACCAGATTCTGTAGTGTGGTACCAAAGACACTCTAAGAGTTTTACCACAATGAGTAAGAAAAATGTATCCAAGCCCAGCAACCCTAGGAAATTCTGCTGTTAATTTTTCTCCATGAAGAGAAGGTCTGTTTTTCCCATTTTTACTTCCTGAACCAAATCCTTTGTCATCAAAGTATAAGATAAGACCCTCAATGTCAGGATAATAAGTAAAAGATAGCTATACAATTTTTTTTAGGAGTAATTTCAATAGCGTGAATTAACAACATCTTCCCCATCAATACCAGATTAATGTTCTCTTTATAAAAATTAACTTGAAATAATAAAAGTATAATGGATACTCTGAGCATCTTAAGGGAAACAAGTAAATTTTATTAGTCTTATATTTTTGTAATCTTAAACGAGTGCCTGGCAGATGATATGAGCTCACCATGTAGAATAATCTATTTATGGTTCTGTTGAACTGAATACTTCCCAAAAAGGGAGGACAAATAGATTACCTGATACCAAATGTGTATAGACATGTAGAAGCTGCTACTCTTCCCAGAACTCAGACTATATCTGGAAAGCATTAAATGGCACCTTCACAGCCTTAGATATTTAATGGAATCCTCATTGTATTGAATTCAATTAAATATAAGGACATATATTTGCTGCTTATTCTGATGAGATTCTCACAGCATCAAATAAACAGTGAAGCATTAACCACAGTGACCATAGACTCACCTCTATAGTTTCGGCCTTATACATGGCTATTACTGGTACTGTGCCAAGCCAGGCCTTTAGCATTGGCACATGTCTGTTTTGTTCAGTGTAATAAATCACCTGCTGGAAAAACTCTAGGAGAAAATATTTAATTTTAAATAAGTTCCTTACTGTGTCTTTTTGTTTCTTTTTACTCTTTTAATTTTGGGCAACTCTCTCAATATCTCCCAGATCTTTCACATCTTGAAGCTAAACCACACAGTTGTCTTTACTAAATATTTAATCAATGAATTATGAGGCTAATTGAATTATGAATGATATATATGCAACAACGACAGATGCTCCTTTCACCCTCTCTAAAACAGCATTGAAGTTCCTCAGCAAACTGAGATTAGAGCTATAATATGATCCAGCCATTCCTCTTCTGGGTATTTATCTGAAGAACATGAAAACACTAATTCAAAAAGATATATGCACCCCAATGTTAACTGCAGCATTACTTACAATAGCCAGGATATGGAAGCAACCTTAGGTGTCCATCGATGGATGAATGGATAAAGAAGATGTGATAATATTAGCAGAGCTGGCATGGCTCAGTGTTCGAGCATTGACTGGGTCAGGACATACGCCCGGGTTGCAGGCCCAACCCCCAGTGTGGGGCATGCAGAAGGCAGCCAATCAATGATTCTCTCTTATCACTGATGCTTCTCTCTGTCTCCCAGGCCCTTCCACTCCAAAATTAATAAAGAACATATATATATGTGTGCATGTGTGTATATATATATAAAATAAAATATTGACATTTGTGATAACATGAATGGATCTTGCGGGTATTATGCTAAGTGAAATAAGTCAGACAGACAAGGACAAAAACAGTCTTATTTAACTCATATGTAAAATATAAAACAAAAAAGTAACAAATGAACAAATATAACAAAATAAAAACAAATTCAAGGATATAGACAACAGAGTAGTGGTTATAGGGGGGGAGAGTGGAGAGAAGGCAAAGTAGGTAAACGGGTTTAAACAAATGGTAATAGATGGAAACTAGACTTTTGGTTGTGAGCACCCAAAAGAGTAAACAAACATCAAATTATACTATTGTACACCTGAAATTTAGATAATGTTATTAACCAATGTGACCTCAAGAAAAAAATAATTTTAAAAACTCTTCTGTTTTACTAATCTTTCAACTTCTCAAAGGTCTCAGGGCCTCTATAGAACATCTTCTCTTTGTAGGAAAATCTTATTCCTAACACATTTTATCTAATAACACTTATTTTTCAAGTGTCATCTTAAATGTGATTTTGCTGCAAAGTCTTCTGTGATATTCTGAACAAGATTTCTGGTATTATAACTTCCCAAGTTGACTTCCATTTCTAGTACAGCCACCAGATCTCAGTATTTCTAAATACTATCCTATAATAAAATAAACCAATTCTCCTTGGAGAAGTCATTGATTTTATGGCCAAGGCAGAAAAAATACAAGAAGACTGGAATATATTATGGTACCAGAAAATAAGGAAGTGCTCAAAAAATGAGGGGCCATGTTGAAACACCAAGCAGCCAACCTGAAAAGTTCCTAATGCTCCAAAGAGAAACAATTTGTGCAACGGAATAAGTAATGATAGGATTAGTTTGTATCACTTCTCCAGCCAATATCTTATAGTTTTCAGTGTACAGGACTTTCACTTCCGTGTTTAAATTTATTCCTGCGTGTTTTATTCCTTTTGATTCAATTATCAATGGGGCTGTTTCCTTAATTTCTCTTCCTGGTAGTCCATTAATAGCATAAAGAAATTCAAGCGATTTTTGTATGTTGATTCTATACCCTGCAACTTTACTGAATTTATTTATTAATTCCAACATTTCAGGGGGTGGAGTATCTAGGGTTTCCGTTATGAACAATCATGTCGTCTGCATTCTTTTTCTTGCCTAAATGTTCTGACTGGGACCTATAATACTATTTTGAATAAAATGGTGAGAGTGAGCATCCTTGTCTTCCTGATCTTAGAGGGAAAGCTTTCAACATCACCTATGGTATTCTTGCCAAAACTGCATAACCTCAATGAAACTGAAAAAACAACAGACAGGTCCAAACTGAGAGTGATTCTACAAAATACCTGTCTCAGAAAATGTGTAAAGGTCTTTATCTAATCTGATAAAGGATCACAGATTAGAAAAGATTAATACTGAAGTACATAACACAAGGAAGCACAATTACTATATGCCAGGTGAGATTTTGAATTGAGTCATGGAACAGAAAAAGAACACTAGGAAGTATTGTAAATTTCAAATAAGGGCGGTAGTATTGTTAAGATCATTGGACAAATAATAATGGTCTAGTTTGATAATGATACTAATTCTGTAAAATAACACCATCAGAGGAGGCTTCCTGGGTATATGGCTTATGCGAACTCTATATTATTTTTACAAGTTTCCTGTAGTTCTAATATTATTTGAATGAATAAAGGTTTATAAAGAAGGGGAGTTTTATTATCTGAAGCTGAAGAATAAAAGGTAAGCTGGAGTAAGATTTAAAAATATTTTGTTAGTAGAAGAGAAACACATACACATAATATCTATATATAGAAAAACCTCATATGCAAAGTGTCCCCTCGGGAGTTTGACCAAGTGGGAGTTCCATCGCTACCTATCACATGTGATGACCACCAGGGTGCGGTGCAGACCGAAGAGAGTCCCAGCTGATGGCTGGCAGCTGCTAGAGAACCTACCATGCACAAATTTTGTACACTGGGCCTCTATTCTATACTAATGAAAGCCTTGGTAGCCCTTGTGCGTGACATCATCACAATATGGCTACCAAAAGATGGCCGCCATAAGGTGGCCGCCACAAGATGGCCACACGCACAGCTGAGGTGGGGCCTGGTGGCCATTCCTCAAGGTGAGGCCTGGGGGTCCCACAGCTCCACGCAGTGCAGAGAAGACCGGTCTTTGCAGAGGAGGTGGGTCGCAGCAGGAGAGGGCATTTGTGGGCAATCAGGCTGGCAGGGGAAGATAGTTGGTGGCAATCAGGCCAGCAAGGGAGCAGTTAGGCGTCAATCAGGTCAGTAGGGGAGCGGTTAGGGCCGATCAGGGTGGCAGGCAGAAGTGATTAGGGGCAATCAGGCAGGTAGGCAGGTGAGTGGTTAGGAGCCAGCGGTCCCAGATTGTGTAAGGGAGGTCCGAATGCCGATTTAGGCCATATCCCGCAGGCACAAGGACATCCCCTGAGGGGTCCCAGATTGGAGGGGGTGCAGGCTGGGCTGAGGGACACCCCCAGCCCTTGTGCATGAATTTCATGCACCGGGCCACTAGTATATAAATAATGGACTATATCTACATTTCCTTGGATATAGGAAAAAATTTGGTTTGGGAATGTAACAAAAATGTGGAAGAAAGGTCATCCTATCTAATAAAAGACAAAAATGGTAATTGGTGTACGACCAATACGCTTTTCATTGGCTAATCAGGGCTATATGCAAATTAACTGCCAACTAAGATTGGCAGTTAACTGCCAACTAAGATTGACAGTTAACTGCCAACTAAGATTGGCAGTTAACTGCCAACAAGATGGCGGTTAATTTGCAT